TTGAACATGTTGAAATTTACAAGATGTCAGCAAACTGATATCTTTATACACTCACACACATACAAGTGTGTATTTGCCTGCAATTGGGGACCCCCTATTGTCCCTCTTTTGTTTGTACTTTTAACTTTTAAGACCTCAAAATTGGGGACCTTCTGGAATTGGGGACTATATTGTCCTCTATTGTTCAATGTCATTGAACGCAGAAACAAACTCACCCACAGACGTATTTTATTGCAGAATTCAAACAAAAACCATAGGGCCTACCGTTGTTATTTAGTGTAATGAAAATGCAATTATTAATGAAGGCTCCAAACAAATTTGTTATTGTCAACGGACTGCCTTTAATTAGCTATCCAAGGTCAAAAACAACTGAACACATGGGCCAGTGGTCAGACTCGATGAGCCTGATGATGACATCTGCGCATCGCTAGTAATATTTATTTTTGATTGACCATGACATCACAAGTTATCTGTGGCACTCGGAAAGAAAAAGTTGTGTAATACTTGGACAGTGTAAATGAATGTTCACTTTTTTCTTGGTAGCTAGACTAAAGTGTCTATTATTCCCATTCATAAAAATGTTTTTTTGCTGAAAAACTGCTCCACCATAGGGGGGCCTACTATTATTACCATTCATACTGACCAGTACATTATACCTTTTTGCTCAAAAAATTTTTAAAGTGGAAAAATTGACAAAATGCTGCGTTTTACTCAGCTTCAGGACACTCATGTTGCGTGTCGCATGCATGGTTTAATTACTCTACATTGCAGTCTCTTTTTTATATGGAGATCATGATGCGTTTCTGAAGCAGCTGGCTACAGCTGGCATGTGTGGAACTAACAGTACTGCGCGCATGTGGTGCGGTTCAACGCAGTTAAAACACTGCTGGCCGGTGTTTAAACAGTGATTTAAGACAACACACGGCCACGTGATTGGCTCTCGACCAATAGGAATGGGTGAACTGACTCAGGTATTTTTGAATAATATATGAAGTAACTGAAGCAGTTAACTGTTTTCCAACGGCTTCATGCCTACAGTCACGACTTACGGGATAGTAAAATAACATTGTTAATTCACATGAGGTTTCAAATTTGATAAAGTGACTAGAGTTGGTGTACTTGAGCTGTATGTGCCAGCAAGAAATACTCGGTTTGCATGGTCTCTGCATCTGTTTACTCTGCAGCCGATGAGATGTCGCACCAGCCAGTTCCAGCGTTGTTTCTTGCCCAGTGCCGTACAGCTATGGAATTCCTCACATAGTGACATGTGTGTAGCAGGCAGTGTGTATACTTAAGTCAATGGCCAACAAATATCTTATTAGGTGTTGGGCTTTAGCCCAGCACCTATTGTTATTGTATGGGTTCAATGTTATTATTATTCTCCAAGACACAATTCGTTTCCAGAACTGTTTGGAAAACTGGAAACATATATGAACTTTATTTGCCAATACATGAATGCACAATCCACTGAAGATGTGCTTTTTTGTAATTACGTCATTATGACGTCATCACGGGTCACGTGACATCACTTGAAAGTCTAATAGATTTAATCTTTGAAATTCCATATAAAGTCAACCGTGACAGACCGGAACTTGAATTTTGCGGGAATCGACATGATAATACATGCTCTTCATTTTATCTTGTGCGCGTAAAATCACGTGACCCTTTCCTTCCGGTCGAAACCGGAAGTGCCTAATAATGTGAAAGTGGAAAAAGATATGAATTCGCTTTTAACGATGTAGGTGTCTGCCTGGATTGACCTTTCAAAAAAAATAATGGGTGACGCCATGAAGAGTTGGAGCGCCCTCTAGTGGCAGGTTAAAAAACGTCAAAAACGCATTTTCACTTGATGTCTGTGGCATCAGACATCAAGTATGCGGTAATCCATGGCCCAACACCGTGTGGTTGTTCCTACAACCTCTAGTTGTCCATATTTTTGTCGATCACGTGTTCTTGTTTTCTCTTTTTTTTTATTTAATACTCTCTTGATTTTGTTTTCTTCGTCAACGCTTCAGGTGTGTGGGGGTTGCTCAGTAAAGCAACTTACAATGTATAGTTATTGCACTTTTCCCACTCTACCTGGTTCGTTTGGTGCGTGGACATCCGAGAGCTTCTTTACATTGCTTGGTCTAGTGTCTAGACCCATTTGTTTAAAATACAACGGGTCTGAAGTCTGGAATGTGGGATGCTATGGAATGTTGGGTGCTGTGGTCTAATGGTTATGGCGTTCGACTCGTGTGCCGTGGTACGGTACATCAGGTTCAAAACCTGACCTTGGGAACATGGTGCTTGTGCTCTTGAGCAAGGCACTTTATTATTATAGCTTCGTCCTTCAGATGGGATGTAAAGCTGTTGGTCCCGTGTGTTGTGTAATGCACGTTAAAGAACCCAGTAACACTTATCGCTAAGAGAAGGGGTTTGCCCCGGTGTTTCTGGCAGTGGCTGCAATATGCGCCACAGCATCTTGAAAACCATTATAAGGTGCTATAAAATGGGTCTCATATTTCTCATCAACTTTTTTTTACCTTTCTTTAATAATAGACATTCTCCAGCGCCTTGAGTACCTAATTGTTGGTAGATATGTGCGCTATATAAGACATTATTATTATTATTATTGAATGGTATTTTACATTTTCACAACTGATGAAAACTGGTGCGCAAATGAATTTTTTCATCGGCCGACGTTATCCCCCCACATCTACTCAGTAACCGTGAATGCGAGACAACGTTTGTGTCATAAGATTTTGCAGATGTACCATATGTAGCGTAGCTGAACTGCTGAAGACATTTCAATATTAGGGTTTTTGGAATTTCTGTACACAACAGGGAATTTGCCACCTTCTTGGTTCAACTGAATTTTCCAGGAAAAGCATGAATGTTCATAGTAAACATTTTTAAATGTTAATTATTTTGCAACTTTTTAAATTTATGCTTACTCCTTTCTTGTTCTTTCATTGAAAAGTACCCAAGGAAGGAAACTCCAACGTTTTAAGAAAAATGATTGCCATGGAAAGTGTTCAAAAAATAATTATTGTATTTGGCTGTATACTGTGTACTGCAGCTGCGGTAGTCGGATTAAAGACATCCTGCAGTTGCAATAAGTCCTGTCGTGTTGGCAACCCAGTCTCGACGTGGGTGCCGTAGGCAATGCGGTTGTCTTGCGGTGCGGAGGGGCCCGTTTGAGATCAGCTTGTATTGTACCCAGCAATGTCGTCCTTGTCAGTGTTTGTAGGCTTGTGAACCAGTAACAGCAAAGTCTAAGGCGCTCCGAGTGGGTGTGTCAGGGTCCATACGTACAATGTAGGATATATGGCCTAACACCATGAACACTGACCCTCTTTGCTTTGTGACCTTTGATGAGAGGGGTTCTTCGTTGCACAGTTCGTTCTTACCGGTAGTGCCTGGTTGCTGATAAGGCTCTTTGGCCAGCAGTGACCCAGACAGACCCCGAGCTTCATCTCTGTTAACAGTGATCTTACTTGTCTTAGTTCCTCTTCGTTGCAGCCTGCTTGTAGTAGGACATCTAGGAATAGGATGCGTTTCCGCTTGATGGTATTGAAGGCTCGTGACATGTATCAATGCCCATCTTGTGGAAGTCCCCTTGTCATCACTACTGAGGTCAGCATACATTGCGCCCATACAATGTCTGCGCAGCTCCTGCCTCTTTTGAAACCACTTTAATATGGTCCGGTGCAACGGTCGATCTTGTCTCTGATGCAGCGTAGAGTGATGATGGACAGGATCTTTCTTTATGCTGTTCAGCAGGGCTATCGGCCGGAGGTTGGCTGGTGGGCGGGGGGCAGGGGTGTTCTTTGGCTTGGGTAGAGTGGCAAGTGTGCCTTCTCCTAGTGTCTCAATGTCTCATTTAGCTGTACTACGGTATGCACTATTTACTGAATATCCATCAATTTGCATTAAATATATAAGAAAAGTATTCTCAAAAATATCTTCTTTTAAATTTAAAATAAAAAGTAGTTTTTAGTGATTGTATTGTAATTAATTGTTGTTTACATAATTTACCAAAGAAGTAAACAAAGTAAACCATTAACAGATTAAAAGGGACATACCTAAATACATGTACTGGAAGATGGTACAATTTTGACTTATTTTTCTTTGTTGGAAAGTAGAACTTGTTTTGATAGAAAAAATAAATATAAAAGTTCATTTGCCATGGTGACCAAAACAAAACCTTGTTAATATTGAACATGGTATCCAAGTAGCAAGCACATTACCCCAGCCAACTTAATGTATGCGTGAATTTACTCGTGAACATGGTGAATGTGAAATGTCGTGACAATTTTTAGTGTATTTACACGAGGACGAAGCACTTTTGTACTGGAAATCCTTCAAAATGTTGTTTAAATAATTTGACTCCATAGCGTTCCACGCAGCGCCGACCAGGCAATGTGTTCCCCTCTATCTTTATTAAGTCACATGGTGGCGCTATTTTCAAGATGGCTGCAGAATGCAAATAAACACTATTGCTGAATATTGTTGGTTTTTTTATGATTCTTGGCTCTTAAGGATTGTTTTTTATAGGGAAGTAAAGTCCGAAATTACTGATAATAGGCACGCTAAGTTTGATTCTCGTCTCCTGAATATGAAGTCACAGACGAAGATTCGTCACAGTAAAAATTTCCCCCCAAAAGAAGACCCAAAAACATCCACTGTCCATGTTGTTAAGTGTAGTGCTTGTTACTTGTGCAAGAGCCCAAAATGGAAAAATATGTTGTGTTAAAGTCAGTTCTGCAATTTAGTAGAAAAACGTCTATTGCGAGTCAAGAATTTTTTTAAGCATAAATTTCTTAACAAAATTAGAATATTTCTCAGTCCCAGATTCATGTCTTATCGCCATTTTTGCAATAAATGACTTTCACTGAGATGATATAAAGAAAAAAGTGGAGTTACATGTAGGTTGCAAAAGTTACATGTATTTTCTGCAAAAATAATCAGAGAGTGAGGGACCAGTTCACGGTATTAAATTAAATGAACAATTTTACCTGTGCCTCTTCTTCAAGTCGACCCCCGGGCCTAGCGATTAATGCCACCCCATCCCTTACTACGGCCATGTGCTCCAAATAACAACAGAACGGCCGGTCCTCGTCTGCGTCCAGCTCCGACAGGTCCACCTTCAGTTTACGCAGCGTCAGGATGAACTTCTCGTGTTGTCGACGGGCCAGCTCCAGGTTTAAGCCGCCGTCTTCCTCTTCCTCGGTCCCGGTACCTTTCTTGCTCGTCGCCGCCTGTTCTTTGGTGGCCAGGCTTTCCGGTAGCCGACTGACTATCCCCGTTGTGTACAGAAATGGTCTGTTGCTGTGGATGTGCCTACTGCCAGACGATTTCGTATTCTCCATAATGTCCAATTTTATTGTCCGCTTTAGGGCATCCAGAGGTATTTCAGACGGAAAGGGGCTCAATTTGGGGGGAAAATCCGTTCAAATTTTGTTATACCCACCGATACAGTTCGTATGTGTTATGCAGGGCTGGCGAGAGCTGCATGCAGGCCGGGTGCATAGATATGCACAGCTAGCTAGGTGCGTCGCGTCGATATACGGTATTCGGCACGCTCAAGCTAGACTTGGGTATAAGTCGTTAGACCGCTGTATTTTTTCCCGTCGGTGCGGCGCGCGTGGCGCTATCGATATCGCGGGCAGTATTAAAGGGAAAATACAACATTTGCAAGCATCGAAAAATAAAACTACCAAGTGTTTACAAAATACCTTACTAAGATGCTGGTAAATGACAGTGTAAAGCATCCTGTAAAATTAGGGCACCTGGTGTGAAGTCATTTTCAAGAAAGTTGTATTTTTGTATACATTTCCAACGGTGGTCAGCCGACCACCGTTGGAAAAACCTACCTATTTTTCAACTACTTCTCCAAATTTACCATTTTTTCAGTCCAAATTTTGTTTGCTATTGGTTACATGTTCCTGAACGGGTGCAGGCCAGCTAGACTGGTTCCCTTACCTTACAATTTTCCGGCATCTATAAATTGATCCACTTCATCTTCAGTGGAGTCAGGGAACCAGACTACTTGAACGTTTGTCTTTTTTCTTGGTTTTCCAGCATTTTCGAACACAAAACTTCACACGTCAGTGTAACAACATTTGATCTATTATACTAACCCCTCAAATAGTTCATTTCTGAAAATTACAGCAAAAGCCAATGATGTACACTCCCTTTAAAAAAAGCGGAGCATAAACAATCTAGAGGTTCGCGTTTGTTGTTACAAACGCAGAGTGGTCAGGTAGACAACTATTTCATAGACATTGTCAAGTTCAGTTATAAATATGTTTATGTCATAAAAAAGGATCAAGAACATTAACACTTCAAATACCAATTATTTTGTACAAAAATAATGGGTCTTTTCAGGGTATGATAAATTTCAGTAAAGGTACGCGTACATGTTATTTCCAGTTTGATGACGTCAACAAAAGGAAGGGGACACTTGTTTATCATTAAGTACAAACAACGCATGGAAATGTGGAAATTAAGTGTATGTAATTAACAGCCAACTTCCAGTTTGATGACGTCACAGTATTTGGAAGCAAAAGGTCAATATTAAGTGTAACAGATGTCATTTGGGGGGGGGGGGGGGAAGTCATGAGACAGCAATCATATGATGGATTTAAATTAAAAATAAAATGATCATTGTTGAATTCTCCCTACAGTAACTTACAGTCTGATGACAACATGATTACGAAACTTTGCAAATTCATTTGTGGTTGCTCACAGAATAAATAGGGGCAATTTCATAAAAATTTGATTGAGGGTTTAACATTTTAAATGATTAAACTGTTTTTGATGTGCCGCTAGAGGGTGCCCTTTCGTGGGATGACGTCAAAATTATGTTTTTGTGATTGGCATTCCTCGCTTAACACTTCCATAATGTATTTGTCTTAAGTAAAACGCTTCCGTTTTAGAGTTATATTCAATTTCTATTGCACTTCCGGTATCACCGGAAGTAAAGGTCAAGCGGTTTTGTGTCCGGGGACAAGAAATGTTTCGCAATGCATAGTCTACAACCTCACGAAAAAAACGAACACGATTCTCTATTTAGAGAACACGATTCTCTATTTAGAGAACACGATTCTCTATTTAGTCCACACGGGACAAAAAATGTTTATCAATTAATGGTCTATCTGATTACAAGGTATGAAAATAATTGATCACTTTGTTCAAGAGTTATAGGTGAAAGAATATTGACATTTTTTTCAATGAAAATTGCATGTAATTTGACACCTGATGATGTCATCATGATGTCAAGAGTAATATGCACCACTAGGGATGAGAGCGATATATGTTGAAAGTTACAAGTTCATACCATACATCGTTTTAGGAGAAAACCCGCAGAGAAGTATTGTCCAGAAAAAAAAAAAATATCAACGCAATAACAGAGAGTGGTCGGGTTGTGCCCGTAACAATTAATTAATCGTAACAACTCCAAAGAGTGGCCGGGTAAAAATCTTTCAAATACTTTGTACTAGTTGTAGTGAGGACAAGCACCACAAGTGGCAGCACGCTGATCCTCTGAGCTGCGACTGGATTTTTTTTCAAGATGGCCGTTATTTCCAATATAAATATACAAGTTTTCTTTAGTTTATCACAAAATTTGATATTACCGGTAGTTACATTGGGCCGATCAGAAGATTTATGTGTTCGACTTTAATTTGATCAGAATGCATATAAGTTCATTAAGCATTCCTGCACTTTGCTTTGTAAAAATGGACAATAAAACTTACACTTATACAATTTGTATGAATCTAAGTAGCCTAGCTACCCTTTGCAAAAACCTAGTAAATTGAAAAAAAAAGAACACTGCCTTTTGAGACACCATGTAGGTAACAGTACAATATCTCTGTACTCAATCATCCACTTGTCAGTTGCTTGTGTCCCCTACTGCTGACCACAGAATACAGTTGATATCTCGGGCTAGTCCCTGCAATTCCAACTGCATAAAGTTGTGCAGGACTGACCAAAACGATAGCACTTGCACCCAGGGTGACCCTAGGGTCAGAGCCAAATTCTGCTAAATGTACATCATAAATAAGTCAGATTTATCAAAAATCTGCCAAATTCCCCAGAATAACCACTTAAAATCACATGCAAATTGGTAGTAGTATTGCCTTCATTGAGATTCAAATTACATAATAAACAATCTAGTCACATAAAGATGTTGTGAAATATAATTGGTAAATTTCGGGCAAAACGCGGATCCGGCCACGACGAAGTCTGTTTCCCAGTGAACCTCAACACCTAGACCAGCCAACCTGTCATTTTATTCCCAAATCAGGTCTAGTGGTTTGATTGGTCAATTTGAATGCAGTGTTTTGTAATTCAACGGCAGCCGGGTGCATATCGCTTGACATGATACAGAGGGCGTGACACAGGATTTTTTTCTTCTTCCATGTTTATGATGTGCAATGGATGAATGACCAAACACCGGATATAGAAAGCACATGCTGATTGGTCAAAATCTGGAGGTCAAGAAGTGGTTGTCTGGCATAATTAATCAGCCAATCTGCTCAAATGCATTAGACAATGGTTATTGCCATGGTCTATTACATAGTCTACCCAATGTCAGCCTTGTTGTTGAAAACACTCGCCTGTTTGGTGATAAAATGAATGGGCTTGATTTCATGGTGGTGCTTTCCAGTATGCGGAGCAGACGACCATCGTTTTTTTCCCTGACGTAACTACCCACGGCTGTTGTTGCTTGGTTGTGCAATCCTTCGAGCTGAAGAAACCCCCGCCATTCTTGTGCGACAGGTACGGTTGTCCTTTGCTGCCCTCGGATGATGCAGCCTATATCTGGTCTGGAGCTTCCTTGTCAATCTATCCATTTACAATATGTCTGCCATTGTAGGACACCAAATCTACACAGCATCACAGGAACATCTGACGGCGTTTGTTTTATCGCTGCTACTTCAGCTCTGTTGCCAAAATGAGGCAGACCCGCTGGATGTACATATACTCCTCCTTCAGCTGCTTTTTCTGGACTTAATCTTCCTGTTTGAAATTTCATTCCCTCCAGGATTAGAAAGCATCACATCTGGTTCGCGACTTTTGATGGCCTCTTCATAATTGCTGACACTGATGTTCAGGAGACTGCTCCGCTCGCCAAGCTTGATCGTCAATTTGCTCATTTTTCTATGCCAAACTCCTTACTGATGTCGGAAGCAAAGTCTGAAATGACATCAAGTATTTGGGCTAACATCTTGCCATTCTTTGCATAAATCTTAAAGTTGTTCATTAGCAGATGACTTCTCTCTCATAGCCACATCCAAGTCATAACTCCTCGCTGAGCAGGTTGAGGGCCAGTGGCAGTGCCAGACTCTAAAATCTGGGGGCAATCGGGGGCTAGGTAAAATGGGGGGAGGGGGCAATCAAAATGAAACCTTAACCCTAACAGTCCTGAATCCTCCAATTGTAATATTATTTTACGCAGCCCCTCTTTAAGCCTGTGTACGCGCACGTGCCCATTGTCAATGGTCCAGAAATATGCTACTAGAGCAACTTAAGAAGTGTAGTTGTTTTTTTATGAATGAAAAATGTATCAAACCACAGAATGGTGTATAACAAATGTATATGTACAAGACGTTTGCTGCACACTATCTACGGCTGTATGAATGCATTTGTGGCGTGTTCTGTCTACCAAATTACCAATGTTGATAATGCTTTCATTGGCCCAAAATGTGTCCACTGTTTATGAATCTTAAACATAGAAAATAAACATCATTCAGTTTTTGTATACAAACTTTATGGTGCATGTCGAGAAAAAATCGAAACAATAGGAACAAAAGAAAGGAACAGTAAAGCAAGCCACACCCGAGAGCTACGTGCTGAGCAAAAAGTAGTTCGAGACTGTTTGCTCATCACGTAGCTCACAAAATATCCCTGTGTGCAGTGCATTTTTGCTGAGTTTTCTGCCTACCGAGGTATCTGTCTTTTTGAAATTTCTTTCACTGTGTGCGGTCAATCTGAGCTGCATGCTAAGCTAAAAAGATTAACTACCCAATGAAATTACGTAATCTGTGCGCATGATTTTAAAATACTTTTGTACAAATCTTTTAAAGCCTGCTACAGTTTGTCCCCATTTTTAATCTCTGGCAGGAGCTTCTACATGTCACAGTTGGTCAGTCGCTCTATCCCTGAAGAATTGAGATAAAAATAACAAATTGTAATTTTCCCCAAAAAAGCAAACAAAACAAATGAAATGCTTCACAAAAGTTGTTTGTAACGATTCCTGAAGTTGTTTTTGAAAATTATGTAAATGGAGGCAACATATGTGCAATAATGTTATAGCCATGTGGTATATAGTGCCCTATAATTCTGCGTGAACAAGCACGCAATATATTATGGGAGACTTAGGGGGCTTCTTTTTGTCAGTTAACGGGACAGATTAGTGCAGCGGGATTTTGGCCTAGGAGGCCTTGAGGAGGGCACATGGGCGGCACGTTGAATGCCATGCATAGGACGGCGCATGGAATGCCGTGCATGGGACGGCGCATGGGATGCCGCGCATAGGACGGCACATGGGATGCCGCGCATAGGACGGCACATGGGATGCTGCGCATAGGACGGCGCATGGGATGTCGTGCATGGGACGGCGTGCATGGGACGGCGTGCATGGGACGGCGTGCATGGGACGGCACGTGGGATGCCGTGGCCCGGGCTTGTACGCGCAATCTCCTGTCAAAGTTATAGACTTTCATGGAAGATAGGCAGTGCTTATTGTGCACTCGCACTTGTTTCAAATCACACGATTGACAAACAAGATTAATGTGATTTTATTGGCTAGGAATAATCTTTTTGGTTCAGCACATAGCTCAGGTTGACCACATACAGGGGGTATGGTGATTTTTTTCCTCGCAAGGCAAAATAAATCAAACAGGATAGATACTGGTATTTGCCTCACTGCCTCACGAGGCAGAACAATCTACAAAAATTTACTGCACACAGGGATATTTTGTGAGCTACATGTACATGTACGTACTGAGTAAACGGCCTCAAATTACTTTTTTGCTCAGCACGTAACTTTCGTGTATGGCGGGCTTAAGAGGTCCTCATAAGTATACTTCAACACGACTGTGTGTATTCACAAATAGATCGTTCACGTTGATGCAACTCACCCGCGAAGCTGGTGATCAATCATTTATCATCATATACATTTTTCTAAGTAGGTCATTTAGAGACACTCTTTTTTTTCCAAAGAAAAGTATGTTATGTCATTCTGGAATTCCTTCTAGAGTAAGACCCACAGAGGTTTGTCTCCCCATTGTTGATTTCTGGATAATGTCTTCTATTTTTATGGGTCAAGTACTGTCGTTATTTTTATTATTACATTTGCCAAGGAGATTATGTTTTTATCGGCATTGGTTGGTTGGTTTGTCTGTGAACAGGATGACTCAAAAAGTATTGGACGGATTTTCAAGATTTTTTTAAAGTACAAATCTATTAGATTTTGGAAGTGATCCGGATCTGGGTCAGGATGCAGGAATATATTTGAAGGATTCTTCATCATGTTGTATGTGCTAATATGCTATGTGTGTAGAGACGTGTGTGGGTAACGCAGTCTATGAAACACACCATTGAAACCGACTGGTCATTGGACTCGACCAGTTGATATACTATGGGGGAGTTGGGAATGTGCAACATAAATATGGAAGTTCAGTCGATATGCGATTATTTCTACTGGATTTACTGACAATATGGCCGGATGTTTTTCAGCCTTGGAGGAGGTTTGTGCTCTCCAAGTGCTTTTTATTTACTATTAGAATTGACATACTTCTTTTCTGCGTGAGGGTGCACAAGGCCTGGTGATCAAGGCCACGCCGCTGACCACAACAGCGCAATCCTCCACGAATACACAGTCAGGCAGGTCCTCTCTGGGCTCTATCTCGCTGAAAGCTAGATTCTCAATCTTATGCAGGGCTGACAGGTACCTGAAACATTAAGGGGCGAGGACAATAATGGAATGCAATCACATTTGAAAGAACAGTATGAACCAACCGACTCTGAGAATCAAAAAGTTATTCCCTTGTCGATGAATAAACACACTATTACAACCGAGGTCACACGCAAATAGGTATGCTGGAGCGCCGATGGTATGGATAGTATAAAATGAGCAATAAGGTATGGAGCGCCAATCGTACATTTAATAAAAAAAACAACTTTATTTAAAAATATAAATCATTTATAATAAATTAATCTTTTTCAGAGTGAACACCTCGAGCTATCTGATAAAACAGATCAATGCGATCACCAGATTATCATCGAGAATGGATTCCTAATTTGTAAAACCTGCGGTGAAATAATCTCACGTTATTTTGATTTTTCGGCAGAAAATGCTCAAGGACAATGTATCAATTGGTCCATTTTAAAGAGGAATCAAAAGAAAAACCTTGAGAAACTGATTTTATCCGTGTCTCCAGAGCAAGACTCAGAAGACATCCAAGAAACGATCAATAAATATAACGAGCTTGTTAATTACAAAACATTGAGGGGAAACGGATGTGTCAAACGATCATTAATAGCCGCGTGTTTTCATCATGTCGTTCGATTAGACAAAGAACGAGTTAGAGATTTATTTAAAGTGACTCAAAATCAATTTAATAAAGCCTTAAAAAGATACCATGAACACTACAATAAAGGCGGGGCTGAGGGTGACACCCTAATAGGTGAAATAGAGGTATAACTCGGTGGATCGCTTTCATAATGTTTATTTACCGAGAATTCGAACATGTAAGTTTTTCGATAAGAGATTTTTTTCTTTTGTCAGCTGTTCGTCTACCCGTTTTTTAACTTCTTTTTCAAAGTCTGAATCTAGGAATCAGTTCCCAGTTTCTAAAGTTGTTTCTGAATCTCCTCGTCGCTCTAAACTCGGCCTCTTGAAAATCTTCGGGTTGCCTAGAATTTTGAATCGCCGAGAGTAAATCTTTTTAAAAAAAATCGACCATTATAACCCGTCGGTGTAAATTCTAGATCGTAATCGTCTACAATCTGTTTGAGCTCATGTAGTGTCTTTTTCCTCAAGTTTTTAAATTGAGCTTCGTAGTTTTTTATCCCGTCAATGTAGACTTTTTGAGAAAGATAAGCATTTCGATTGTACGGTATTTTATATCTCTGGACGTAATCACGCAGCGTGGCTTTATTCCATCTAGAAAACCCTTTAACGATTGGCTTGATCGTATTCATCAAATATATGTATCAATATATATTTTAAAAAATTTTTTTTAAGAGGTCAGACTTTTGGATTTATAAGCAATTAGACACATCGGCCAGTGAGAGAGATCTTCAATACGAGAGATATTTGGGGATTGGCGCCGTACCCCTCTCCTGAGGGTTTTGTCTGGTGGAAGAGTGGGGTTTTGGCCTGGTGTCCTCCTCCATTGCAGGTCAAAAAAAGGTCTATATTTTAAAATATTGGTCTTGTACCAATACCCACACCTATGGCAAAGTCTAGTACCCTCCACTATCATACTACTCTCTTCATGGCCGCAGTCACCCTGTACTCGCGTGGCTCCACTGAACTGGATGATGGAATTTCCGTGCGCTATCATCTGGACGGAAGCCTCTTCAACCTCCGCCGTCTTCAAGCCCCAACAAAGACTTCAAGTGTGCACGTTTGCGTACTCCAGTACGCCGATGACACAGCCCTTGTTAGTCATTCCCCGGCTGGACTACAGAGGCTACTGGATGGAATGGTAGATGCATATGGCCGTGATGGTCTTCTCATCAACACCAAAAAGACCGAAGTTCTGCAGCAGCTCTCAACACCAAACGCCAGCCTGCACAATTTTCACATTGGCAACACTGAACTCACGAACGTCGACCAGTTCACCCACTTGGGCTCTGTGCTGAACAACAGCCATGACCTGACTGACAATATTCAGTGACATGTTCGTCTTGCCTCTGCTGCTCTTGGATGGCTTTCTCGACGGGTGTTCCTCAATAGGAACCTCTCCAAAAAAACCCAAAGTGGTGGTCTACAACGCTGTGTGCATCTCGACGCTACTCTATGGTTGCGAAGCCTGGGTCCACTACCGAGGCCATGCTAAGATGCTGGAGCGGTTTCACATCTCCTGCCTTCAACGCATTCTTGGGCTTCGCTGGTGGAACAAGGTGCCGCACGCGGAAATTCGGCAGCGAGCCAGGAGCTTGTCCCTAAAAGCAACCATAGCTGGACGTCAACTCCGCTGGGTCGGCCATGTTATCAGAATGCCAGTGAACCGGCTCCCGCGTCGCATGCTGTATGGTGAACTCACCCAGGGGCAGCGTTCTGTCGGTGGTCAGTTCAAACGCTACAAAGACCATGTGAAGGCAACGCTGAAGAAGAGCGGAATTCCAACCAATCGACTTGAGACATTGGCCTAAGACCGAGCCGAGTAGCGACACGGATGCAATGACGGCGCTACCCGTCTGGACGCCAAGCTGGTCCGAGCAGCGGAAGAGCTGCGTGCCCGCCGGCACGCTGTGACCGTCGCACCTCCTGGGCCCGCTCACCGGTGCCCTGTGTGCAGGAGAGGATGTCTGTCACGCATCGGACTTTGAGCCATCTAAGAACCCATGAAAGAAAGTGACGTGGCGTGGTCTTCTGCATCAGAAGCTACTACTACTACTACGTAATAATAAATAAATTTTTGTTGATTAGATTTCCTAACTTAATTTTAAAATCATAATTATGCACCTCCCGAAAATCTGACAAGCATAAAGTTGGACGTATTTCTAAGTCTACGTGCCCCATATCTGCTCACAAGTTATCTCCTACACTTCAAGTAACATATACATTTTTTGAAGACTGCGCAATGCCTTTGCGATTTTGATTAAGAAAGCCCAGTGTTACGGCCCAAAACATGTATTCTGGGTAAAGAAATGAAGAAATAAAACAGTGTGTCACTTATTTACTTGAAACTGAATGAATTGTGATTTACTTGTGATTGATTAATGTTGTAAAGGGATGACAGAGGTACATAAATTTAATACAAATCCTTATAACGCCAAGTCAAAATCTCATCATGCTCATGTTTGAAAGGATCGATTCTACAAAAACAACCTTTAAGAACCGTGTCCTGCATTAAATTATGACGTAAATTATTTATGCCGACTTCCTATTTATCTGTTGTGTCAAGTTTGAAAGTATTTGAACTTAAAACATAGAAGTTGTCGCAAAATACTATCTTTGACCAAATATGGGCAAAATAATGAGGGAAAAATGTCGTCATAATGTTAATGTGCAATTTCGGCCACCGTGAACAACCAGATTCAGATTCAGCCCTATTCGCTCGTACCCCTCGCCCTGCTAACAGGATGCTGGGATACGCTGATGAATTCACGCTCTGATTGGATAGATTTTGCGTGACCTTGACCTGCAAGTCATCACGGCCATGACCCTGCAAGGTTTCTAACAGTCGTTGGCCATTAAGACTTTTATTCCAATTCATGAATGCTTTTGTTTTTGTTGGCAATCTTCCGTCTTCATTTGTTTCCAATTTCCGGACACCTTTATTTCATAACATAATGAGAATTTTTGAATTTCATAACTTATTCATATACATGTAATTTCCAGGGCGACTTTTATTAGGACACCTACAATGGAACGGCACATACTTTCGCTATTTAACAAAAACATGCAGGCAGATCAAGGGAGTGTTAGCTGTCAGGGAGTGCTAGCTGTCAGGGGGTGTTAGCTGTCGGGGGGTAGGGGGAGGGGGATGTAGCAGGCATGTCAGTGCTACTTTTTCAGCATGATTTTCCTTTCTTTGCAGCCCATGGGTGGGTGTAGACTACCTAGGCCACCCCCCTAATGTAGATCTTTCACTGACAACATGCACCACTCCAGGATAATTGGGATTAAGAGCCTGGGGTGGGGTGGAGTGCGGCACATTAGGGGAATATGGAAACTCCATGTTTCGTGGTACCCGTAAAAAATCTTGATCAGAGATACCTCGATCTACGACACTACTATACTCACTCTTTATGTTGGCTGTTGGCTAGATCCAGGTCAACTTCCTCATCAAAGCTGCCCCGTAGTGCCTGGTCTTTTAGACTGTTGGATAGGCCACGACATACTACTGCGACATTGCACTCGAAGGGCTCTGTGCGAAATACCGTACACTTTGCCTTGGACATTGTTGTAACTTGCGACTGCGCCGTGCTTATACCTATAAACGGGGAAACACATGTGCAAAAAGTCAGTGGAAACCAAAAAAACAAACAAAAAAACCCAATACTTGAACACATGGTTACCAAGAAACTGACTCTTGTCTCACCGCAACAAGTATGCAAAATCGTCAGTGTCTCCATGACGACAACTTTCAAGCATATCTTTATTGATATTAGCCAGAGACACTTTCGAGTTCAGCAAAAATGGAAGCTCATCACCTTCGAAACTGCACATTCATGGTCTATTGTCATTTTGCAATAGGCTGGCTGCGCGCAAACATTACCGATGGGATTTTGAATTCATATACAGAGGCAGGATTCAGACCTACCGGTACAAATGTCATGCATTTGATATCCATAAATTAGGAGCAGAGCCTCCTATTTCACTTGCTAGGATTCACTGCTATGTATATAAGCATGGCTGCTAAGAAAACCTAAATATTTTATACCCAGAATTACCCGGGCACTATCAGACAGTATTGACGAAATGCATTTGGCAAACTTGGGACATTTTCAGAAACAAATGACTTGCAAATGACTTGCGCTGACCAACAGCATCAATGATTGCGATTTAAATCATTTTTTTTTTTTTTAAATCACTGATTTAAGGCAAAATAAATTGACATTCAAACACCCCTACTTCATCAGCATCGACTCAACTTATGAAGGTTCTGCATTATTACCCAAAATCCCCCCACAGGCGTGTAGATGGGGTCTATGACCGAATACTTACCTGTAGAGCCATTAACTGCATATTCCCCATAGCGGCAGGTATTGACGCTAAGAGTTTTCACAATAGCGCCCTCATATGTCCAACCCATAGTGCCCCGCGGCACGATGCCTCGTGAGCGTCCTTTTTCTCGAGTGCTAAGGTATTTTTACACTATACACCCCAGTTGAAGACATTGTTAAGCGTCACAAGGTCGACGGCATGTTCTATCAGTATGCTAACGACTCTCAACTTTATGTCAGTGTAGACAGCAACAACATCGATCCATTTATCAGCGAGCTTGAGAAATGTATCACGGAAATCAAGAAATGGACTGCAGAGAACAAGCTCTGCTTGAATGACACCGACACGGAGGTTATCTATCTATCATCCTGTTACGCAGACACTACACCTATTAAATCTATCGTCGTCAGTGATTCTGTCGTGCACACTGTTGTTGAAGCAAAAAATCTTGGTGTCATCATTGATCAAAACCTCTCCATTATACCTCCTGACAATAACATCTGTCGTTTGGCTTTGCTTGCAATCAGAAATATTGGTCGCATCTGCAAATACCTGGACCAAAACTGCACCCAGAAGCTGGTACCGTACATGCTTTTGTTTCATCAAACCTCGACACATGCAATAGTCTTTTGCATGGCCTTTCAGACTTCCAAACAAATAAACTCCAGCGCCAACAAAATGCTGCAGCCCGACTGGTTTCCTTGAGCAAGAAGCGTGATCACTTAACACCCATTCTACAAGACCTGCATTGGCTGACTGTGAAGAAGCGCATAATATACAAACTCATGCTTTTAACTTTCAAAGCCATCAACGGTCAAGCACCAAACTACCTACGCAACCTTATCTGCATCAAGGAACCTTCTCGCATTCTTAGATCAAATGCCGCTACCATTCTACAACGACGTACTGTGAACACTGTAACATACGGCCAGCGACCATTCTCATATACAGCTCCTGAACTCTGGAACCGGCTTCTAACATATCAGAAATGCCAAAACACTGGAACTGTTCAAAACTCTACTCAAAACCCATCTGCTTATCCTTTGACTTTGAACATTTCTCCAGCCAATCATTTTCGTCAATTTGTGTTGGTTTTTGTTTTACATATATGCCGTGTTTTTTGTGTGTATAATTTGTAAATGGGGTCTGCATCCCGTATGTTGGATGCTTTGAAGCGAGTTTTGTTTTGGGCATCACCATACCCTCCCGGCTTGTACTGGTCATCAGACAGGCGAGCGAAGATAAACTGTCAGGTGCCATTCCAGGGATTGTTGGTATAAACATCCTGTCTGAATGCTGGACTAAACTTGTGGCTCATCACGGACAGGGATATCTTTGGAAACTGCAGATAAATGAGAATAGGCAAGTGTGAAACCGCTTCAAGCAGTTGGGAAACGGCAACCATTCCAAGCGATAGAGGGTGCCACATGCCGTGCATATCTCGAGTGGGGACCCCCCATATCAATTCCTGCCCAACAAGCTGTCGTCACACATGCCATTGCTCGACAAGCACCTGGTGATGCAGACTACTGTGCCATTCTAGATTCCCATAAATGCTCCAACCTTCCCAGCTGTGTGAAAAGTGTGAGAAGGCTAGTCAGGGTGTCATTTGGTAAGCTCACAGTGGTGCTGATGAAAAAAGGGAACCAAGATGTGCTCCTTCAAAATCGTAGCTATATTGGTACCTTGTTTTATGGTAAACAAGCTGATTTACCCGATCATAGATCGGGTATATAGGGCGTAGTGTTGGGGATGAAAATGTGGGCAGTTAAATGTAAATGGGGGATCATTGAGGAGACATGCAGTTATAGAAAACAAATTTTTGTGGTGTGATCTGAGGCAATTTCTGACCACTGAAACCAATTTCAGCAAAAGATCATCTTTGTAAACATCATTTTCGAGCTTGGGGTAATTGAATCAGCTACACGGTATTCTGAGCAATAGAATCATTATAGTAGGCTAAAAAGTGGGGGGGGGGGACCAAACAATGTCCCCGCTTTAAAATGTGGGGGGGGGGGGGTCCCCTGTTCCCCACCGATTTACGCACATGATAATTATGTACCCTGATAACTGTCTGTAAATGTTCCCGTTGGTCTGTTAAATGGGCATTTTGTGAGGCAGTCACATTGCCGGGAGAACGTAGTGAAAAGGTTACCGTAGTACACAGGCGAAGGCTGATTGTACAGTTTTGACACTAAATCATAATGTAATCAAACGTGAAGTTGTCATTTGCAATGGAAATGTTGAGTGTTACCATAAAATTACAAACGGTGTGAATGATGGAGGAAGGTCATAATTAAGTTTCAGTATTGGACTCTACAACAAACGTAAACTTGAACTTCTTACAATTTGCGAGACCGTCTGCGAGGAAAAAGTCGATTCAACTTTTATTCAAGTTGGTCAACCATCAATATAAGAGCAAGTTTTACTCGGCCTCCGAGAAATGTTCGCTCCTGAAAGGTTCCGAGACCGCGGTCTCCCGCGACGCCAAAATGGCTCCACGTCCAAAGAAAAATACGGAGAATTTCTTCCGCCAAATCAAGCACTTCAGGTCGTCCTAATTTTTCCGTACGGACCGGCGATCCGTTTTGTCGATTTTTTTGTGACTGCGTTCAAGATCGCAATATTTGAGGCAATGCATCAACCCTTCGTTGATCCCAAACAGGCCCCCGAAATTATAACGCGACACTGACTGTGACGTGCAGCGAACTCACAACGCTCAGCCTTGGTGGAAGCATAGAGCTAGTGGAAGCATGGAGCTGTAAACACATTATGGAAGCAACAGCACTCTATCACGCGACGTCACATGCTTGTGCTTCAAATAGCGAGCACCGTAGACTCAACCTCGTTTCCAGGGTGTGGAGCAGGCTGCAGTACGCGTTGCCAGTGACGGTTTTACGCATAGCCGGGAAGTACCACGCAGTGTAGACTTTCGATTGGTCAGACCGCGCTAGGCATACTAATGTGTGGTCCTTCTGAGTATTCGTTGCACTCGGCGCAGGGGCGGCAAGCGAAGCATATGAAAGAATAGGGATACTTGGTGGCCACGCACCATGGACAAAAAATATTTTACCAAGGTCACCCCATACTAACGTTTGGTGAATACTTTTGCAGAACGGCAGAGTAGAACACGTAAACGAAACCCCTTCGTTGGCCTCGCTGACCTCGCACAGTCTAGACACGCAGAAAAGCCAGCACGGGGGGTGGCCAGGCAGTCAACGTGAAAGCGCACACGACGGCAAATTCCTGTGCAAAACGCAGTCACGAAAAATCGACGAAACGGATCGCCGGTCCGTACGGGAAAATAAGGACAACCCTAAGCGTCCGACCCGGCGGAAGACACCCTCCGCATTTTTCCACGGACGTGGAGCGATTTTGGCGCCGCGGGAGCCCGCGGTCTCGGATCCTTTCAGGAGCAAACATCGTCTCGGGGGCGAGTAAACTTCTCTCTTATATATATAGATTGGTGACTGAGGAAGATGACGTTACTGTCGAGAGAGATCTTCCACATTCAGCTGATGTTGGAGTGTCAAGTCTGCTCCCCTACCGAACGGAAATCTAGTCTGTCCAAGTTGGTCGATATCAAGGTACCACTGACAGTGGAAGACCAAGCACAGTTTGATGCCCTACTCATCAGGTATGATGGGCTATACTGATGCAGTAAAACACCAGATTGACACAGCGAATGCACCACCAATCAAACAGAGATATCGTTCACTTCCACCCTCTCAGTACCGTGAAGTCAGGGCTCACATCCAGGAACTTCAGGAGGCAGGCATCATACGAGAAAGTTCCAGTCCTTTGGCCTCCCTGATCGTGGTAGTCCACAAAAAAAAGATAATTCCATCCGTCTGTGTTGACTTCAGGCAACTCAACACAGTAATTGCGAAGAACTCATTCCCTCTTCCCCAAATAGACGAAACACTACAGACATTAGGAGGAGCCAAGTACCTCAGCATGTTGGACTTAGCATCAGGCTATCACCAAGTGGCGATGGAGGAGAGGGACATCAGTAAGACAGCCTTTGTGACTCCCTTCGGGCTCTTTGAGTACACGAGGATGCCTTGGTTTTGGCCTCTGTAACAGCCCTGCAACGTTTCAGGGGCTCATACAGCATTGCCTGGATGACCAAGCGCTAGAAAGTGTACTTGCATATACACATGTAGATATAATCGTGTTTGCCCCAACATTTGAACAACACCTGCAGCGCCTCGAGATTGTGTTCCCAAGTCTACAGCAGTATGGTCTCAATATTAAGCCACAGAA